TGTGTGTGTGTGTGTGTGTGTGTGTGTGTGTGTGTGTGTGTGTGTGTGTGTGTGTGTGTGTGTGTGTGTGTGTGTGTGTGTGTGTGTGTGTGTGTGTGTGAGAGAGAGTGTGTGTGTGTGTGTGAGAGAGAGAGAGAGAGAGAGAGAGAGAGAGAGAGAGAGAGTGACTTTGGGCTTCCTCCTACCTCATGGCGGCGACTGACCCGGAAACGGCCCAAAGACAAGTGAGAACGCGACTTCTTGCGGCAAGGAAAGGAGTCGTTGCTTGCTTCGGGTTTTCGGTGGAAGGATGGGGGGAAAGGGGTGGGAAATAAGATATTTAAGGCGCCTGCCGTGATTTGCGGTCACTTGCAAACCAGTTGAACAGGAGTCTAGTGGCAGGTCTAGCACTGATCTGGATAGCCTATAGCCTGCTAGCATCGGCTGTATGAGGCTAAGCAGGGTCAGTCCTCCTTCGCACTTGGATGGAAGACCACCAAGGAAGTCCCAAGGCAGGCAATGGCAAACCGCCTCTGAACGACTCTTGCTTTGAAAACCCTACAGGCTTGCCATACGTCGTCTGTGACTTGATAGCGCTTTACCCCACCAGTGGCACGTTAAAGACTAACAACATTTATTTCTAGCATAAGCTTTTGTGAGTCTGAGACTCATCAGATGCCTGAAACTGGGACATGGTCACTCATTTCAGTTTTAGCTGGTAGTGGATATGATCATCACTGAACAGATATGTGTGCTTTTAAAGAGCTTTGTTGGTATACTGGCCTGTAGCCAGAATTTTTTTTGTCAGGGGGCAGATGAATATAGTGGAGGGCAGCTGTATCACATCACAACCCTGGTTTAGGTTATCCTGTTAATATGTGTGTGTGTGTTCAGTGCCGTCAAGTCACTTCCGACTTATGGCAACCCTATGAATTAAAGTTCTCCAAAACGTTCTGTCATTAACAGCTATTCTCAGCATTAGAGGCTGCTTTGACTGGTGTGGGGCAAGTTTCTGCTTACACTGCTGTAGCTAAAGCATAGCAACCGTGTCCTTCTAGATTTTAAAGCTTGCTATGTACCAAAATCCTAGAGAAAGTGCTAAGCTTAACACAGAGGCATTGGGGCCACTTCTTGTGGCCTTCAGTATTTTATGCAAAGGCTTGTCACAGTGCTGAGAACATGGGAGGAATCAGTAGTGCCACAGCAGCCCCAAAACTAAGGCAGAGGTAAGAATCAGGAAGTTTGAGTCTCACCTTGGCTACCTGGCTTTAGGCAAAGCTGCCTTAGTCTCCATCAGAAATAGAGGAATAAATATTTACCTTATAGGCCTATAGGGTCGCTGTGTGCATTAGCATAAAATAATTTAAACAAAGCTCTTTGAACACTTCAAAACACTATATGTTAAATACTAGGAAAAAGGCCCGTTGTGGAAATAAATACAACGACCTCTAGAAAGAGGCTCTGGGCGGGTGCCCCAGCCTTGGACACTCAGTGTCAATTTGCTGTGGCGACCTCAGCAGGGTATAATGACACTGAGTCCACCATTTTCTCCAGAGGAACTGATCTCAGGTACCTAAAGAACAGTTGTAATTTTGAGTGATCTCCAGCCCTCACCTGGAGATTGGCAACAATGATTCCCCAGAAGGGAATAGTTGGTTTGGAGGGTGGAGTCTATGGCTTTGTACCTGTCCGAGGTCCCACACCTCCTGAAACCTCACCCTCTCCAGGCTCCATCCCTCACATCTCCAGGAATTTCCCACCTGGAGTTGGCAACCCTACCTCCTTCCCAGCCAATCATCAACCTACCTTTATTTCCCCCTCACTCTTCAGCTTTCCACCCCCCACACACCTGCTGCCTCTCCTGTGCTCTGAAGCCCTGACTGCTATGTCACATTGGCTGTCATATGGGGGCCACCTCAGCAGCATATAAAGATACAGAGCCCACCATTTTCTCCAGGGGAACTGATCTCTGCCATCTGGAAAGCAGTTGTAATTCTGAGTGATCTCCAGCCCTCACCTGGAGATTGGACACATTTTACCTCAGAAGAGCAAACTGTTTAGAATGTTAGAGGCAAAAGCCAATCAAGCCGCATATGCAAACGACCTCTGTGTTCTGAGGCAAAGGCCAATGAGGCTGCATATGCAAATAACCTCTGTGTTCTGATTGGCTATGGGGGGAGAGGAACAGCAAAATGTTTAGAATGTTGGAGGCAGGACTCAGGCAAAGCAGCCAGTGGATAGGGAGACCCTCTGAATGACAGATCAGAGAGCGAACTGATTTTGGAGCGTGTGGAATGTTCTAGAGAAGTGCCACCACCATTCGGCTTTTATTTATAAGGGAGAGGAGATTACTGTATTCTGGCACAGACATGAGTTGCGGCCTTGTGTTTGGGCTGGCAACCTTACACCGAGTTCTGAGTAATACTCATTTGTATAAGTGCAGTAGTACCAAGTATACTGAGGTCATAAGTTGCATTATATTTAGAAGCCTACGGTAGTGGTATTGTGATTTTATATAACCCATTTTGTAATTTGACAAAATTAGCTTGCAGCGACATGTTACAGAGGAAGAATAGTACATTTCAATATCGATGAATATGTTTCATACCTTGCTGTAATCAGTATAATTTTGCCATGTGAATAATAATGCAGTGGAAAAAGTAAAATAATTTAACTTTGTTGTTTCTGTCAGACAGAAGAAATTGAAGCCCTGTCTGCTATATATGGTGATGAATGGTGTGCTATTGATGAAGATGAGAAAGTATTCTGCATTAAGATTAGTGATTGTTTGGAACATCCAAAATGGACTCTCTGTCTGCAGGTAGGTTTGTTGTTACATAATCTGCCTTAGATTTTGCAATTTAAGAATCTCAGCTGGGGAGCCTTATTTAAGATTCAGGACTTTTTAATACCTGTATACATAACTGTGATGATTTTTTTCTTGTTGCTAAACATTTTCTTTTAAAAGGTAAATCTGTGTCCCTCAATCAAAGGACTGTGAAACTTACTCAGACTGTGACCTCCAGGGGGTATTAAGCCATTTCTCTCCCAACCCCCGCTGCTAGATAGCAACTTTAAAAATCCCTTTGGTTTAGGATTCTGTCCTGTATCTTTAAAATATTGACTTCAAAATATCATTCCAATCCTTGTTTTCCTCTGTGTCATGCATAGATGCTATTAAGTTCAAGTGATTAAAATGTGGAATTCACTGCCAGAGGGTGTAGTGATGGCCGCAGCAATAAACATCTTTAAAAGGGGATTAGTGCACTGTCAAATATGCTGTTATGCTGGCAGCCTATCTGGCTTTTTTTGGGGGGGGGGGGAAATAAACAGTTTTAGAAGGATTTTACAACTATATGTTTGTGACCGTAATAAATTTTACTATTTTAAAGGGGATTAGATAGATTCATGGAGGATAAGTCTATCAATGGCTACTAGCCATGGTGACTAAGGGGAACCTCCACATTCAGAGGCACTAATCCCTTGAATCCCAGAGCTAGGAGGCAGCATCAGGGGAAGGCCTCTATGCCCTGTTGTTGGCCATCCAGAGGAACTGATTGGCCACTGTGTGAGACAGGATGCTGGACTAGATGGACTATTGATCTGATCCAGCAGGGCTCTTCTTATGTTCTTAGAGATAATGCACAATAGACCTGGATACTGGAAGAGTTGCTTTGCTTTTGGTGTTCAGTTCATCTTGGAGAAAATCACTGCAAACAATGGTAGCCAAACTTGATGTAACTGAATGAACTTGATTTACCTATAATACCAAGTCACTGTTAGGCAGCTTGTTGCCTGTTATACACTTAGGTTCCCTCCATTTTGTTTTTGTTGTGAAATTAGTCTGCTGTTACATGCAAACTCATTGGCTGCAGTCACACACACACTAAATAACCCACTTTCAAGCCACTTTCAGTGCGCTTTCCAGCTGGATTTTACTGTGTGAACTGGCAAAATCCAGTTGGAGAGTGCAATGAAAGTGGACTGAAAATGGATTATTTAGTGTTTGTGACCGTAGCCATTGTCTGCCTGGAAACCAAAATTGCAAGCTGTAATCATCTGGTTTGCAGTTGTGGTTTCTGAGCAAATTACATTTTGCGTAAGAATGCTGATGGTAAAGATAGAATAGGCAGTGTCCAGAATTCTGCAGGATTTTAATGCCCATTCACAACTTTTCTCTTTTGAGCTCTCATTGCTGCTGTGACTGCAAGAGGCTTTTGCACCAGCAATGGAGCATCCCCATGGCTTTCTCCACACTTTCCTTGCCTTGCAGCCCCCCCCAACCCCGCCAAAAAAACTACCCGAGGTCTGATTTTGGCTTTTTGTTTTAAATTGGCAATTGCTAGATTGTTGTAGCTGTATAATAGTAATCTACAAGGGGGGGACCCACGATACTCGCAGGGGGGGAATCTCTCTCTTTCCCCCCTTCTCTCTCTCCCCCCTTCTCTCTCTCCCCCCTTCTCTCTCTCCCCCCCTTCTCTCTCTCCCCCCCTTCTCTCTCTGCCCCCCCTTCTCTCTCTTCTCCCACCCCATGATGGTGAAGATGACGATGGCGGCCAAGGTGGAAGCCACCCAAGGGGGCCGCTCCGAGGCCGGCGGGGGGCTGTCCAAGCCGCTCCAGTTGCCGCCTCGCATGCCGCCGGCCCCGGCAAGCCGCTCACTCGGCCCGCATCCCAGCGGCCCGAGCCGGGC